CTCAAGCAGTCCTTCTGCCTCAGCCTCCCAAAGTGTTAGGATTATAGGTGTGAGCCACCAAGCCTGGCCCAGTTCTGCTTTTTTGATTCTACATTTCCCCCCTCCGCTGTCTATTGTCCATGACTTTCTTCAAATGCCTGGCCTGTTGGCTTTTCCGTTTCCTGACGCTGCTATAGATGTATTACTTCCCCTCTTTCATGTCTTTTCTGGATTTCACTGGGAGTTTTCAGCAGGAGTGATGGTGTGTACTTGCGTGTTCTATATACTCCCTTGATCCAGGTCTTCTCCTGACTGTACCAACGCTTGCTTCCAAATATCAAAGAGCTCTCCACCTTTGGGGATAGAAGCAAACTGTTCCTATTATTCAGAAAAACCATTGCTGTAACGTTGCAAGGATCAGTAGGTATCTTGTCTGCTACAGTCTTTCCAAGGGGGAAGAAACCATTGCGTTGCCTTTCCAGCCGTGACCTCTCCACTTCTTCCTCACTCCCTTCCATCTTCAGAAGACAAACTTTCTTTTGCTGGCATTCTGGCCTTCATTGCCTTAGAGGATGCCCTTGTCAAGTTTTAGCTGTATTGCCTGGTGGGTGTGAAACCACTCCTTTTTTTTTTTTGAGACAGAGTCTCGCTCTGTTGCCCAAGCTGGAGTGCAGTGGCGAAATCTCGGCTCATTGCAACCTCCACCTCCCAGCTTCAAGCAATTCTCCTGTCTCTGCCTCCCAAGTAACTGGAATTACAGGCATGTGCCACCATGCCCGGCTAATTTGTGTATTTTTAGTGGAAATAGGGTCTCACCATATTGGCCACGTTGGTCTCAAACTCCTGAACTCAGGTGATCCACCCGCCTCGACCTCCCAAAATGCTGGTATTACAGGCGTTAAGCCACCACACCTGGCCTGAAACCACTCTTAACATAAATCTCTCAGCTGGTACTTGGCAAGGGCTTTGCCTCAGCTTTTCAGATTTTAGTGGATGTAAGTAGCACTAGGGGGAGCCAGTTATATATGCAGAATCCCAGGCCCCACGGCAGGAAAGGGAGAAGGTGGCTTGGAATCTACATTTTACATAGGACCTCATGTCAAAATTTGAGACAATCTCAGCCTCACATGAATTATGCAGGAACGGATTATAAGATATTGAATAAAAAGGAATCCATGTGTCTGTATTGATATTAACACCAAAAATCTTGGCCAGGTGTGGTGGTTCACACCTGTAATCACAGCACTTTGGGAGGCTAAAGCAGGAGTATCATTTGAGCCCAAAAGTTCGAGGTTACAGTGAGCTATGATCATGTCACTGTACTTCAACCTGGATAACAGAGAGAGACTCTGTCTGAAAACAACCACCACAAGAATAAATAAATAAATAAACCAAAACGGTATTTTATTTTATTATTATTTTTCTTAATAGAGACAAGGTCCTGCTATGTTGCCCAGGCTGGTCTTAAACTTTTGGGCTTAAGTAATCCTCCCACCTCAGCCTCCCAAAATGTTGGGATTACAAGTGTGAGCCACTACACCTGGCCAACACCAAAAATTTTAAGGGGGGTAGAAAAGAGGTCTGGGTGTGGTAGTTCATGACCGTAATCCCAGCATTTTGGGAGGCTGAGGTGGGCAGATCACTTGAGCTTAGGAGTGCAAGACCAGCCTGGCCAATATGGTGAAACCCCATCTCTACTAAAAATATGAAAATTAGCCTGGCATTGTGGTGTCCATCTGTAATCCCAGCTACTTGGAAGGCTGAAGCAAAAGAATTGCTTAAACCCAGAAGGCAGAGGTTGCAGTGAACCGAGTGCACTGTACTCCAGACTGGGCGACAGAGCAAGACTCCAATTCAAAAAAAGAAAAGAAAAGAAAGCTCTTCTTCATAAAAGAATGCCAAGTTGTCAATGTAGATAAAATCATAGAAATGAAAAAATTATCATTTTATGACAAGTCTATTAATAACTGACTCAGGCAGGCATCATCAATGGAATGTAAAACCATTAAGAAGAAAGGGGTTGGGAAAAAATATATTTATAAAGTTTTAAAGTATCACCCTACAGACTATTTAGTAATTGGAAAAGGGAAAAGGTATCTTTACCATGGAGAGAACTGAAGGTCACCACCTTGACCATCAGATTACATTTACCATCATCATCAATGTGACAGATGGACTGGTGTAATGCACTGAGAAGACACAACATCACTTAATGTTTCTTTCAAAAATATGAACCCAGATTTATTCTCCAGAAAATCAGGTTGGCCGGGTGCAGTGGTTCATGCCTTTAATCCCAGCACTTTGAGAGGCTGAGGCTGGTGGATCACCTGAGGTCAGGAGGTTGAGACCAGCCTGGCCAACATGGTGAAACCCCGTCTTTACTGAAAATACAAAAATTAGCCAGGCATGGTGGTGCACACCTGTAATCCCAGGTACTGGGAGGCTGAGGGAGGAGAACCACTTGAAGTGGGAGGCAGAAGTTGCAGTGAGCCAAGATTGCACTCCAGCTTGGGTCACAGAGCAAGACTCTGTCTCAAAAAAAAAACAAAAAAAAAGAAAGAAAATCAAGTTGTTATGATGTCATCTTTATTTTAGACACAAAGGCTTAGTCAGTGCACATGATCAACACTTTGAACTTTCAGTTCCCTTCTACCACAGCCTCCCATATTTTCTAGAAGTGTCTAAGGGAGAATTGGGCAGTCTTCTCAGAGCCTTCCATTCTCCACCTGGAAATGTCACCTGCCAGGCCTCTGTTGTATGAAAAGGGTTAGCATAGTTTCTGCCCCATTTCCTATATTTTTTGCAAAGTGCTTCCAATGCTAAGGTGACTCTATGCCGAAATAAGCCCTGAAGCCATTTTCTTACATTATGTTCCCAAAGGGACCACTTTAGACTTCCAGCATCTCACCAAGACTTTTACATGACCACCATCCAGTTTCCGTCATTAGTCTCTCTCCTTAGGACTGAGAAGTGGGTCCAGGGCAGCTTGCAGAGGAAAGTGGCTTAGTCAGCAAGAGCAAGTGCTGGTCTTGCTCTCTGGGGCATGGGATTCTTATTCCAGGCACCGATCCAGTCATCTAGCTCATGCTGGAACTCTCATCAGCCCATTGATATCTTGGAGTTTAACACAAGGAATTATTGTACAAGGCAAGCTGGAAACCCATGGACATAATGGCTGCCAAAGCAGAGAAGAGTGGGTGACAGATTTAGGCAACAGCAGCCGCCCTCACCCTCATTGTCTTTTCTGTTTCTCCAGCAGGAACTTCTCCTATTTCCTTGGAAAACACGCCTTCCTGGGGACCTCCTGCTCACCTCAGTTATCCAAACTGTACCTCTCTTTTGTTTATACTAATGATAGCATGCTAGGTACAGCATTCTCCATCTTGCTTTTTTTATTTAAGATTTTTTTTTTTAAATAAAGACGGGGTTTCACCTTGTTGGTCAGGCTGGGCTTGAACTCCTGACCTCAGGTGATCTGCCCACCTTGACCTCCCAAAGTACTGGGATTACAGATGTGAGCCACTACACTCAGCTCAACGTTTTTTTATGAGCACAGTCTGTTTATATCCTCTATCTTTGTCTTTTGTTTCTTAAAAAAAGCTCCTTACCATCATTTTAGTTAGGTTTCTGGAGAGGATGGAAATGAGTGTTTTCTATCCACCACTAGGTTTTCTTGGAGTTTACAAGTATATGTTGATATCACCTAAAAAACCTAGATACGTTTGTCTCCTCTTTTCCAATTCTATACTTCAAATCTTTTATGTGTGTGTGTTGCATTGTAATTGTGTGTGTGTGTGTGTGTGTGTGTGTGTGTCTTGCATTGGAATACTTCAAATCTTTAAAAATTTAAAGGCTAAGTGTAGTGACTCATGCCTGTAATTCCAACACTTTGAATGGATCACTTGAGCCCAGGAGTTTGAGGTTGCAACGAGCCATGATCATGCCACTACATTCCAGCCTGGGTGACAGAAAGAGACTTCGTCTCAGAAAGCAAACAAGCAAAACGTGCTTAGTATGGAAAAGAAGGGGGCAGAAGCTAAACTAGGGAGAGGAAGTTCAACTGTGATGCAGGCTTAACAAAGCCTCAGTCAACATGGCAGGTCATTTTTGAGTGAGAATTGCCCATTAAGAGTGTCCCATGTTGACACCAAAGAGGGAGGCCTGTATGCCTCCACCTCACTCAGTCATTGTACACAGGCTACCTTCGGAGGGACTGACCACATTCTCTGCAGCTGGGCAGCAAATTCTTCCCTGAGGGGAGACCTGGGCCACACATCTCTATGTCTGTCACAATTTATCCATTCCATCAGGGTGGTGGGGAGGAGTTGATGTATTGCAGGGGATAAGCAAAGAGGAATGTTTTTTCAGCTTTGCACATGCACAATGGAGTTTTGCTGCAAATCAATAGGCTCCAAAGCCAGATGTTGTGAGGAGGAAAGTCGTTGTCTAAATTCCTTTAGTTCTTATTTGACATATGAAGACTCTCTGGTGGGAGCATTTCTTCCGTAGTGTGCTTTCAAAATGTAGGCCTAGGCCTGAGGGTATTATGGAGAAGAAAGGGAGGAACAGGTAGCAGAGAATGAATATTGAATACATGGGTCCTCGTCCCTCTGTTCTAAACTGAATCATGAAGAAGCAGAGGTCGTTTGATAATTCAACTGGGCATCAAGGGCACGGGATTTTGGAAGGAGCTCACCATGTAGAATGTTGAATCCAGTTAGGAGTAATGTGCAGAGTGGCTAAGCAGGGCTACAGCCTTGACTGGATTCTTGCTATGATCCTTGGTAGAGCAAATGCTGAGACCCAGTAGGTCTGTCCTGGGGCTGCAGGGGGTGCTGAGTGGACTGATCAGCATGGATAGGAACAAAGCGAGAACAGCCGGCAGAACCGGGACTCAGAGATGTCCACGGGGCAAGTTAGAGTCAACAAGAGGCTAAATCATCAGACCCAGCTCAAACAGAAAAAAAATGGATCTCCTCAGTGACAGACGTCAGCAGGTAGGAGCTAGACACATAAACTCACCTCTCCTTGTTCATCCGGATGCCCTCTGAAAATGGGACAGGTACAAAAACCTAAAGATCTGAGTATTTATTTTTAAAAGACCATTAGTCATGCTTCTCCAGCATAACAAGCTCAAAACAAAAGGACTTAGAACAAGCTTTGAGTTGCTGCTTATAGGTTACAGGTTCAGCTGCTGCTCTCTGGCTTCAACTAGAATCAGCTGGGCTTGGCTCCAGGCTGTGAGTGGGACTCAAGTTCACTCCACAAGTCTCCTCATTCTGGGACCCGCAGCGATTGTGACATGCTCTTTATATGACAGAGGACAGGATTACAAGAGCCAAACCAAACCATGCAGCTGCATTTTTAGCCTCCAGCCTGGGCAACAAGAGCAAAACTCCATCTAAAAAAAAAAAAAAATTAGCTGGTCATGGTGGTGCACGCCTGGTAAAATATATGCATCAGGTTCTTGAACTGTGGCCCTGTTGGCCTTTATTCTCCAGATCACCTCACAGTTCTGTTCCTGCTCCAGCTATCACACATACTTCAAACCGGCAGGATAGAGGAAAGGGCAAAGAAGGGACAAAGAGTAACACCAGCTGGCTCTTAGGGAAGATTCCCAGAAGCTTCCATGTGATATGTCTGCCTTCATCTGGTATCCAGAACAAGAGATAGAGCCATAGTTCAAAGGGGGTCTGGGCTGAGGTAAGAGGATTGCTTGAGCCTGGGAGGTTACAGCTTCAGTGAGCTATGATTATACCACTGCACTCCAGCCTGGGCAACAGAGCAAGATCCTGTCTCTTAAAAAAATTAATAAATAGGCCGGGCACAGTGGCTCAAGCCTGTAATCCCAGCACTTTGGGAGGCCGAGGCAGGTGGATCACGAGGTCAAGAGATCGAGACCATCCTGGTCAACATGGTGAAACCCCGTCTCTACTAAAAATACAAAAAATTAGCTGGGCATGGTGGCATGTGCCTGTAATCCCAGATACTCAGGAGGCTGAGGCAGGAGAATTGCCTGAACCCAGGAGGCGGAGGTTGTGGTGAGCCAAGATCGCGCCATTGCACTCCAGCCTGGGTAACGAGGAAAACTCCATCTCAAAAAATAAAAAAATAAATAAAAATTAAAAATTAATAAATAAAATTTAAATTAAAAATTGCAGATGAAGATGTACTCATTGAGCTCACCTTCCCAGTCTGAACAGCCGCTCATGGTTTTTATACCTTTGCTACAATGTACATAGCATTGTTTTGGTTATATTTATTTTGGTTATATTATTTTTTATATTATATTTATTTTAATTTATATTAATGATGTCATATTGTAAATATTCTTTTGTAGCTCATTAAACCCTGTGTTTCTTTTTTTTTTTCTTTTATTTATTTATTTTTTTAAGACGGGGTTTCACCGTGTTGGTCAGGCTGGTCTTAAACTCCCGACTTCAGGTGATCCGCCCGCCTTGGCCTCCAAAGTCCTTGGATTATAGGTGTGAGCCACCATGCCCGGCCTAAACCCTGCGTTTCTAAGATTTATCCATATTCATTCATTTTAATTATATAATATTACATTGTGTAACCCTTCCATGTTTGATTTATGTTTCACATTTGATCCCCTCTTGATGGATACTAAATCTGCACCCCTAGTTTATCTATTACTTTTTTTTCTTTTTTTAACCACTGTCGATTTAATAGTTGCTTAGAATAGTTTATCTATTACAAACAACATGGATAAAGATCTTTGGTTTTATTTCACATGTTCCATATGCCAGAGCCTTTTTTTTGAAATTATTTTTTCTTCTTTAGAGACAGCGTTTCATCATGTTGGCCAGGATGGTCTCAATCTCCTAACCTCATAATCCGCCTGCCACGGCCTCCCAAAGTGCTGGGATTACAGGCCTGAGGCACTGCGCCCAGCCCCTTTTTTTATTTTCTTTTGAGACAGCGTCTCAATCTGTTGCCCAGGCTAGAGTGCAGTAGCATGATCACAGATCACTGCAGTCTTGACCTCCTGGGCTCCAATAATCCTCCTATGTCAGCCTCCTGAGGACCTGGGACCACAGGCACATGCCACCATGCTCAGCTAATTTTGCATCTTTTTTGTAGAGATGAGGTTTCATGATGTTGCCCAGGCTGGTCTCGAACTCTTGACCTCAAGCAATCTGCCTGCCTTGGCCTCCCAAAGTCCTGGGGTTACAGCCATGAGCCAGCATGCCCAACTGAGAGTTTCTTTGGAAGTGGAATTTCTGGGTTTTAGGGGCATATATGTATCTTCTTTCTTTTTTTTTGAGTCAGGGTCTTACTATGTTGCCCAGGCTGATCTCTAACTCTGGGCTCAAGCAATCCTCCTGCCTCAGCCTCCCAAATTTCTGAGATTACAGCCATGAGCCACCACACCCAGCAAATGTGTCTTCTACTTCAATAGATATTACAAAATTGTTGTCCGAAGCAGTTATACTAATATACTTCCCCCAGAAGTGTATGAGAGTTCCCATCCCATATCCTGGTAATATTAAATAATGTCAAGCTTAAAACTTTTTTCTCAATTAATGGGTATAATGGTATCTCATTGTTTTTTCTTTTCCCTCATTGCTAATGATATTGGGCATATTTACATAGGTTGTTTCTTCATCTGGGAATTGCCTAGTCTAATTATTTTTTAAAATAACCTTTATAGGGATATTTGAGATATATAGCATGATGTTATGAGATACAAGTATATCTGTATATATAAAGTAAAATATTTATCATACTGAAACAAATTAACATAGCTATCATCTCACATCGTTACCCGTTTTTCCCCCAGTGGAAGGAGCAACTGTACTCTACGCATTTAGCAAAAATCCCAATACAATATACTATTAACTACAGTCCTCAGCTAGGCATGAAGGCTTATGCTTGTAATCCTAGCACTTTGGGAGGCCGAGGCAGGAGACTCGCTTGGGTGCAGGAGTTCAAGACCAGCTGGGCAACATGGTAAAACTCAATCTCTAGTAAAAATAGAAAAATTAGCTGGGCGCGGTGGCTCATGCCTGTAATCCCAGTACTTTGGGAGGCCAAGGCGGGTGGATCATGAGGTCAGGAGATCCAGATCATCCTGGCTAGCATGGTGAAACCCTGTCTCTACTAAAAATACAAAAAATTAGCCAGGCATGGTGGCATGCGTGCGCCTGTAGTCCTATCTACTTGGGAGGCTGAAGCAGGAGAATCACTTGAACCCAGGAGGCAGAGGTTGCAGTGATCTGAGATCGTGCCATTGCACTCCAGCCTGGGCGACAGAGCGAGCTCTCACTCGAAAAAAAAAAGAAAAAGAAAAATTAGCTGGGCATAATGGTGCACACCTGTGGTCCCAGCTGCTTGGGAGGCTGAAGCGGGAGGACTGCTTGAACCCCAGAGGCAGAGGTTGCAGTGCTGAGATTGCTTCATTGCACTCCAGCCTGGGTGACAAAGCGAGACTCTGTCTCAAAAAGCCCCAAAACCAAAAAAACTATATTCCTTATGGAATCATACATTAGACCTTGAAATGTGTTCATTTTACATATTTGCTACTCTGTATCCTTTGACATGTCTCTCAGTTTCTTCCTCATCACCCTATCCCCTGGTAGCCACTTTTATTCTCTATTTCTGTGTATTTGATCTTTTTGTTCTTTCCTTTTTCTTTTCTTTTTTTTCTTTCTCTTTCTCTCTTTCCTTCTTTCATTTCCTTCCTTCCTTCCTTCCTTTCTTCTATCTCTCTCTCTTCCTTTACTTCAAGACTGAGTTTCTCTCTTGTTGCCCAGGGTGGAGCGCAATGGTGTGATGTTGGCTTACCTTAAACTCTGCCCCTCGGGTTCAAGCAATTTTCCTGCCTCAGCCTCCCAAGTAGCTGGGATTACAGGCGCCCGCCACCACGCCCAGCTAATTTTTGTATTTTTAGTAGAGACAAGGTTTCACCATGTTTGTCAGGCTGGTCTTGAACTCCTAACTTCATGATCTGCCCACCTCGGCCTCCCAGATTGATGGGATTACAGGCGTGAGCCACCACGCTGGGCTCCCCCATCTCCCCCTTTTTTTTCCCTAAGATTCTGTATATAAGTGAGTGAGATCGTGCAATAGTTTTTTTTTTTTTTTTCTTTCTTTTTTTTTGGTCTGGTTTATTTTCCTTAGCATAATGTCCTCCCCGTCTATGTTGTGGCAAATGGCAGAATCATCTTCCTTTTGAAGGGTGAATAATATTCCATTGTGTATATATACACCACAGATTTTTTTTTTTTTTTTTTTTTCCTGAGACAGTCTCCCTCTAATACTCAGGCTGGAGTGCAGTGGCGCACTCTTGGCTCACTGCAACCTCTGTAATCCCTGCACTTTGGGAGGCCGAGGCAGGCAGATCACCTGAGGTCAGGAGCTCGCGACCAGCCTGGCCAACATAGTGAAACCCCATCTCTATAAAAAAATAAAAAGAAGAAGAAGCGTGGGGTTGTCATTGATTTACTAAGAAACATAGTTACCCTAGTAAGGCTGTCGCTGATTTGCTGATTTTCAGGGTTTTGCACCAATGAAAAGTTATCTCTAAATAATGGTGGTTATTTGTTCAGGACTCCGGACTTGAGCTAAAAAAAAATATTTTCCTTTCTTTAATATGAAAAACAAGAACTTTCCTACTCCCTTCTTCTGGTGTTTCCTCCGCCAAACCTGCAGGAGACACTTTAGGGATTGTCCAAATCTTCATTAGCGTAGGAAGGATTTTCGGCCAGTGTTGTAATTTAAGTGATCTAGCACCATATACTGTGGGAGAAAAACAGCTCTAGCTATTATTGCAATCTATTGTAAGAAGATGAATACAGGACATTTAGGGCATTCCGACAATGTCAGCAGAGAACTCAGGACAAAAATAATGAAATACGTCCTGTATATGCAGGACGCCTGGCAACTATCAGTTAAGTATTTCCGAAGTTTCTTGTACATGTCCCTGCAGAAACCGGTAGAGCCAGGATCTGAATAGTAAAAGTTAGGGTTCCTCTGGGATCCTTGCGCCTCTAACGCCCATGATCTGCGCAGGGCTGGGTGCGCACTGCAAATGCTAACCCGAAGACGGCTAGGAATCGGCTGGACGTTTGAAGGATGGGAGTGCAATTGATGAGAAGGAGGCGAGAAGACCCGTTCGCGAGAGCCGGGAAGCGAGCCGGGTACCGGGGAGGCGCGCCGAATCCTGAGGCCGGAGCGGAAGACTTTGCTGGAGGCCAAGACTGGCCGGGTGGGGCTGGGAGGGCGGAGCCGGTGGGGCGGGGCCAGGCTGGGAGAGGCTCCGCCCCCGGGCGCGTCCGCGTGCGTGGCCGGGGGGCTCTGCGCAGAGCCCCGCTCCTTGATGCCGGGCTTGAGGACTAGGCAGGGCGGCGCCGTGGCAACCCTCACCCTGCGGACACGCGCTCCCAACATCCGGCCTGGCGGTCTCGCAGCTTAAGAAGTGGGGGCCTGTGGCCGTGCACCGACCCCAACTCCAGCCGCTCCCGACGCCCCCATCCGCGCTCGGTGCGCGCACCCCGCCCCGCCCCCGTCGGACCCCGCGCGCCGCGCCCCCTCCCACCCGGCACGCCCCACCGCCCCACCCGGCCGCAGTCGTCCTGGAGCTGCCCTGCGGGCCACGGAGACCCTCCTGCGGCACCGTCCTCCTCCGCCGGCCGCCGCCATGGACGTGTGTCCCCCGCGCCGGCTGGGGCTGCCCCGCACTCGGTCTCCTGGCGGCTCCAGCCGCGGGTCATCCTCCGTCAGGTACGCGGGGCGACCGGGCGGGGGATGCGGGCTTTCGGGGTCCGGCGACGCCACCCGCCGCAGGGCGTGGTCCGACATGGCTTCCTCGGGACAGTTCTTTCCTGAACGGCTCTGGGAGGAATGTTTTCCCAGGAACGGCGCCCTCTGTAGAGGCCCCACAATGGCTCCCCTATAGGCAACCCTGCAACGGTTTCCCCACAATGGCTTCCCTAGACAACCCTGCAACGGTTTTCCGACAATGGCTTCCCTAGACAACCCTGCAACGGTTTTCCCACAATGGCTTCCCTAGACAACCCTGCAACGGTTTCCCCACAATGGCTTCCCTAGACAACCCTGCATCGGTTTCCCCACAGTGGCTTCCCTATGGACAGTGGTTCCCTGTGAAGACCCTATTATGACGTCCTCACCACCATACAACGTCTCCCCGGGAAAGATTCTTCTACACAGAACCTCACAGAGGCTTCCCTATGAAAAACTCACTCGCCTTCCCCATGGAAAGTTTCCCCCAGAAACTACCTCGAGACCTCGCACCTCCAGACACACAGTAGCTCCCTTGTGTAGAACCCCCAAAATGTATTACCTAGAAAGCCCCCTACCGTATATCTCCAGAGGCTTTGCCCTTGACAAGGGCTTCCTTAAAGAGTGTCCCCCGTCCCCTATGTACCTAATGACAGCATCTCCCCTATTGCGCGTTTCCCCAGCTCCCCCTGCCTCAGCCTGCCTCGCGACGCCCCCTCACTTCACAATAGGGAGGAAGTAGAGGCGTTGGGGTGCAGGAAGAAAAATTGGATGAATGGGGGAAAGAGGCTTAGATCCCCAAAAGCGGTGGACGCCAGGCCCCTTACCCTAGAGACACAGCCCCAAGTTACCTCGCAGCTTAGGAAGTGGGGGCCCTGTGGCCGTGGGGAGGGTTCCCCGTCCCCTTTCGATATAGGAATATCCGTTTCAGATTTTTGTGCCCTGTGCGTTTTGGTGCTGACCTTTTTTAGTCTGGGCATTGTTTGTGATGGAGCTGGTGTGGAGCGCTGGCGCAGTGTGGAGGTTGGAATGATGGAGGGGTTGCCGCAGAGACCTGAGAGAGAGAGAGAGAGAGAGAGAGAGAGAGAGAGAGAGAGAGAGGGAGGTAGAGGGAGAGAGGGAGGGAGGGAGGGAGGGAGGGGAGAGAGAGAGGAGAGAGAATGCAAACTATGATTATTAGTATGGCTAAACTGTCATTAAGCCAGGAGAGGGTTTTGTTGTTTGCTTTTTCTTTATTCTAGCCACATAGCAAAGCAAATACAGTATTGTTCCCTTGAAAGAAGTTGTCAATCTACATGTTAGAACAGGTTTTCCTATATTCTTGTTATGGTACTTAAGGCATATGTTTTAACTTTGCTTGCTGATCTGTATTTTGGGGTTGTTTGTTTGCTTTAACTAGACCAAATTCTTGGAGAAAAAGAAACTGATTCTTAGAACGCTGTTTTTTTTTTTTTTTACTTCCCTGCATTCCTTTCCACATCCCAGAGTCTAATATATGTTTGTTGAACGAATAAAGGATAGGGAAGGTGGGTGGTAGATACCTATGAAACATTGCATTTAGGAGTCCTAAATTGCTTCAGATTTGGCAGGTGACGTTTTTGAACTCCGGCTCTGCCCTTCAGTGTAATTCCTGTGGGCTTTTCATTTCCAAGTTTAACTGCTTATGGTAACCATCTCCAATCCTTTGCAGCATTTCTGCCAGTTTGACTGTCTGAAACAGAAAGTATTTGAACTTTGTGTAGACATTACAGAGGATACTTTAGAACAACCATCCGTTAAATCTAGGCTCTGTGTAGACTTGAGGTTTATCCCAGATCATCTTGAGCTTAGGAATTTGGATTTGAGTCTTTTGAGACTTTTAGGGGGAAAACATCATCTCTACCTTAGAATCTGTCTCTTAACTGTTGCCTTTCTTGTTTTATTCTTTTAAAGGCAGTGATTCTAAGTTAAAAGAAGTATGCTGGCTCACTACTGATCATACCGGAACACCAAATCTGTCAAGTGGTTTGAGTGAAACTTGTTTGATTTCAGACAAGGGACAGTGCAAGGAACACGAAGGCCTAGCTGCCCGATACCTTTGGTGAAAGAAATTTGCTGAAGGCCTCCCTCCTTTCCCCACTTCTACATAATTGAATGTGCTTTTCTTGCCTATTCAAGCCTTTCCCTTACTCTTGACGTTGAATGTTTCTAGCACTTCCCTGTCACCCATATATGGCTTCTTTGCTGCTGACTCCTGAGTGATGAGAGGCAAGCCTAACTGGTGAAGTGACATTCCTAAGACTCATAGATAGTACTCTCCATGTGCATAGTTCCACCATGGTAGTTCATTTTCACAGATGGAGAATGGAGATCAAGAAGTAAAATATTGTTGCTCAGAATTAGAGGCTTCTCTTTTAAGCATATGAGAGTCATCAGTGTTATCAGGTATTTATGGTTTCTGTCTCTTGAGCATGTAGTAGAATTGTACTTGCTTCTTTGAAGTTAGGTTTGGCCTTGAGAGTTGCTTTTGGTCAGTGAAATGTGGGAATATTGTGTCACCTTTCATGGTACAAGCTTCTGTTGTGTAGTTTTTCCTTCTCTTTCCTTCTGTGGTGGTAGCTGTTCAGGCTGCAAATGGCAGCCACCCATCAGTTGAGGCCCCAGAGCGAGCTTCCAGGTGACCTATGCTTGACAGGTAGGATGAGCAAGAAGTGAAACACCACTGGGATTTTGGAATTATTACCAAGATATAAACTAACTTATGTGGACCGGTGCTAAGGAACCAGTAGAAATCTGGCTGAAATATACTTTCCTACTTCGAAATCTTTTTCCGTAGAGGGATCTGTTCCTGCTTGGGACTTCTTTAAGGGTTTAAATTTCACTGTTTCTTATATAAATAATGCAACATATACTGTGTTAGGTGCTGTAGATTCAAATAACTAAGGTAGTCTCCTGCCCTCAAATTAAACTCTTGTGAATGGGAAGAGACAATAACAGTAAAAATCATGATGCAGAATGGTGAGAAGTAACAAATAGGGCTGAAGGAACAATAATACGAGAAGGCCTAGTCGGTTTTGGCCTCCGCTGTTCAAAGGCCTAGTCGGTTTTGGCCTCCGCTGTTCCTTACCCTTTTTTAGTATTAGGAACACTAGAAGAAGCAAAGAGTATAGCAGTGTCTTCCACATTCTGAGAGAAAATGGTTTCTACCTCTGATGTTGGAGAATAATCGATAACAGACATTGAAAGCCCAGTGAGATTGTTGATAGAATGATAAGAACTAACAATCAGGCCCCGAGCTCACACCTGTAATTCTAGCCTTTTAGAGGCCAACACGGGTGGATCACCTGAGGTCAGGAGTTTGAGACCATCCTGACCAACATGGTGAAACCCCATCTCTACTAAAAATACAACAACAACAAAAAAAATTAGCCGGGCATGGAGGCAGCACCTGTAATCCCATCTACTTGGGAGGCTGAGGCAGGAGAATGGCTTGAACTGGGGAGGCAGAGGTGGCAGTGAGCCAAGATCACACCATTGCACTTCAGCCTGGGCAACAAGAGCAAAATTCCATCTCAAGAGGAAAAAAAAAGGGCTAATAATCGACAATTAGTTTCAATACTGTGGAGGTCATTAGTGACCTTGACAAGAACAGTTTTGGTGCAGTGGGTTCAAGAGAAAGTGAAGCCAGTCACCTGTAGGTCAGCTTCTCGGAAGGCTGAGGTGGGAGGATCCCTTCAGTCCAGGAATTCAAGTCCAGTCTGGGCAACGTAGCAAGACCTCATCTCTTAAAAAAAAAAAAAAAAAAAAAGTATTAATTTACAAAGGAGAAAATGAGAGGAGAATTGAAGACACAGAATATAGACAGTCAAAGTGATGTTCTTTCAAGGATGGTTATAAGGAGAGCAGAGTAATGGGGCTGTAGTTGGAAGATCATGAGGTGTTGAGTTTTTGTTTTTAGATGGGCAGACATTATAGCATGTTTGTAAATTGATGAGTTGATGCAGTAGGGAGGGACAATTGATTAGAGAGAAGAGACGCTTGCAGAGGTGAAGTCCTTGAGTAGGTAAGATGAAATGGGATCTAGTAGGTAAATGGGCATGTTGGTCTCAAGTTAGATAGGAACAATGCAGACAACTCACTGGTGGCAGATTCTGTGAACCCAAATGCTGTTAGCTTGTTGGTGGGAGAAAGTGAAAGTTCTCTTCTGATTACTTCTGTATTCTCATGTAAATAAGAAGGAAGGTCTTCAGCTAAAAATGAAGAGAGGTGTTGGATATTTGTAAAATTCATCCAAGAGAATGGGGAAGAATGAGTTGAAAATAAGGAAAAGTTTTAGGATTGCCAGGCAGCACCTAGTACCCATTTGATGTTTGTAGTTATAAACCTGGGTGAGACCCTAGATAGCATTGTTGTATGCTTTTCCTGCAGCTGTGTTGAGCTGTCTGGATGTGGGCAATGGAATGGAATAGCTAAAGTAGGATAGAGGACACCACCATTGGAAGCAGGGGAATCAAGGCACTGAGAGGTAAAGATTGTGGTGCCTGTTGAGATTATCATGAATTAACAGAATTACTTAGGGATCTGTAGATGTCTGTAACAGGGAGAGGTAGTGGGTAATTATTATTTGAAGACATGAAGAAATGATAAAAAAGAAAAAACAAAAAACAAATTTCCCAGAACCAAAGGACATACATTTCCAGATTGAAAGCACTTGCCAAGAATCTAGCACAATGAATTTTAAAATATCCATGCCAGTACCACATGATCTCACTCATATGTGAGTAGAATCTAAAAAAGTTGATCTTGGCCCTGGTGGGAGGATTGCTTGAGCCCAGGAGTTTGAGACCTGTCTGGGTAACATGGTAAGACCCCATCTTTACAAAAAAAAAAAAATTGGCCAGGCACTGTGGCTCAAACCTGTAATCCCAGCACTTTGGGAGGCCAAGGCAGGCGGATCACAAGGTCAAGAGTTCAGGACCAGCCTGACCAACATGGTGAAACCCTGTCTCTACTTAAAATACAAAAATTAGCTGTGTGTGGTGGCAGACGCTTGTAATCCCAGCTACTCAGGAGGCTGAGGGAGGAGAATCACTTGAGCCTGGGAGGCGGAGATTTCAGTGAGCCGAGATTGGGCCACTGCACTCCAGCCTAGGTGACAGAGCAAGACTTCATCTCAAACAAACAAACAAAAAATTAGCCAGGCGTGGTGGCATGGAGCTGTGATCCCAGCTACTCTGGAGGCTGAGATGGGAGGATTGCTTGAGTCTAGGCAGTCAAGGCTACAGGGAGCTGTGTTTATGCCACTGCACTCCAGCCTGGGCAACAGAGCAAGATCCTGTGTCAAGAAAAAAAAAAAGTTGATCTTACGGAAGTAGAGAGTAGAATAATGGTTACCAGAGACTAGGGTAGTTAGTGGGTAGCAGGGTAAAGGCGATGTTGGTCGAAGGATATGTAATTATAGTTGGATAGGGGAGTAAGTTTAAGAGATCTGTTATACAACATGGTAACTAGAGTTAATGGTGATATATTCTTGAAAAATGCAAACAGAGTGGATAGTAAATGTTCTCAGCACAAAAACAACTATGTGAGGTGATATATTTGTTAATTAGGAAGACTTAACTTTCCCACAATGTATATGTATTTCAAAACATCGTGTTTTACACAAATACATATATACAATTTTATCTGTCAATTCAAAATAAAAATATCCATGTCAGGGCATAGCATCATGATATTTTCTGGCACCATAAAGACCAAATAATATACTGTAAATCACATACATAGGATCAGGAATCCTAGGATTCTAGCAGCATTGGAAGCTAGGAAATAATGGAACAGAGTGCCTTTTGAAGGAAAATAGATTCCCACCCAGAATTCTACACCCAGCCAAACTCTCAGACAGGTGTGAGAAAAGATGAAGATATTTCACACAAGTAAGTTCTCAAAATTTGACCTCCCATGCACATTTTATGAAGAAGCAAGTGGAGGATGTGCTCTAGCAAAACAATCTGATTAAGAATTTCCTGTGCCTTCTACCATACATAGGTGGGATTTCTTTATTATCAAGAGGGAAGGACCTTATCAGCCCTGGACAGTATCAGGGGACCATTTT